ATGTGACCACTCTCGGCCGCAAACATCCAACCCCATCTATCTCATCTCATTTCTTAAAATAAGTTTTGAATAAATAATTTTAATAAAAACATGAAATATAAAAAATATACATGGTTTCTATTCCTATTAGGTTTCTTTATTACCGTTCCATTCCAATATCCTGTTAACTGACTACAGTAAATACGTAAATAAATACACAGCTAAAGCTTATTAACTATTTTGAAATACAACAAACTGAAAAAAGCCTCATCAAACGAAGCTTTAAAGAATTTTTTGTTCTGAAATAAACAAATTCGCAGTAATCTATATCTGTACCTCAGAGCACAATAGTATTAACTCCAGTTTTCCCTGTTTTTGAATATAATGAATATAACAGGCACAGGTGAAGGATACATGAGTTTATGTTGCGAATAATTGTTGATTTATAAAATGTGAATAAATCATTTATTTCATTAATTTTTTATAAAAATGCAGCAGCTTGAAAAAAGAGGGGTTTTAAAGAAAGTATTTTTTAATACTATTAAGCAAATAGTATCTGTCTCTCACATTAAGGCGGTGCACATAAAGCTCAACAAATCGTGTACAACATTTCACAGTATTTTTATACTTAAAATATGTTTTTAATTTAAAATATTAAATACAACTGAATATGAGTTCAACGTTTGGTTTTTCATAACGAATAAATGACTGTACTTAAGACTTAATTTTTTTATAAATTCAACTCTGTTTTGATAATTTTGAACAATTTTTAAATATACATACGTACATTATTATTATTATTATTAAAGAAATTTATTAATTTATTATTGACTATTTATATTTTGTAATATGTTAATTTTTATTTATATTTGCGGGATTAGCAAAAACTTGCACTCATTAGGATTTGCTTTATTATTGATACTAAATTTTTAAGACTGAGACAATTTTATATCAAGTAATAAAACTCAATATTGAACTTTAGAAACAGTAAAATTTTCATTTGTCTGATGTTGGCATTATTACCAGTTTGTGTCTTAGTCGTTAAATTTTATTTTCGCAATTTTATCATTATGTATTTATGGCAAGCATTGCTTTATTACATTATGTTTATGTCATTTTTCTAAAAATTATAAGCTTTTAATAACAAAAATATTTGAAACTTAATTTTACATAAATAAATAAGCAATTATTGAACAACAAAAAAAAAGTTGAAAAGTTGACATAAACTTGACATAAAAGTTGTGGAAAAAAATTTGACTGAAAATTATCCAAGAGAAACACGGCTACGTTATATACGAGATATTTTTATGTTCAAACCAATTTCCAATTTTACTCTGTATATGTATAATTTTCAAATTCAGCGGCTAAGTAATAATTAACTACTTATGTAAACTATAAACGTTCTCACAATAATTTTTATTTTTTTTTTAGTTATACGACGTACTAACAAATTCAGATATCGTGTCTTGAAGACTTACCCCCAGGCAATTTAAAAGTAACATTATATTACTTGAATAAAATTTCTATAAAACAACAAAATACTAGTATTTTTTGTTTGTACGTATGGTTTTATAGTGTGGGTTTCAGAAACTTTTTTCTTAACGTGTAATTGCTTGTTTTATATTCTTGGTTGCACAAGTTTCATTAGGTCACTATGTGCCAAAATTGTCCGTTATTACCGCAACGGTCCGTGTTTTTGCCATATAAAATTTTATTGGACTAGTTCTCGTAAATGGCAACAAGCAGGCTTTTTGCCTGCTGCATATTGATTCATAAAATTTAAAATTTTGCTTTATTAAAAATTTGAAAATCATAAGTACTACTTATACATAATAATATGTATGTTTTTGAAGAATTAAGCGCGGCATTTAAGAGATAGTCAACCATAATAGCATGCAATTACTTTTTCTTAATTTCATTATACATACCTACCTAGATAGACCGGAACCACGACTGTGTGGCGGCAGTTTTCTCAACTGTGTGTCCTCTCAGCTCTTAAATGAAACAATTCAATTAAGTGGAAAACGGAGTTAACTGTATGAAAAAAAAAATGTAAAAAATACGCAGAAATTTTTTTAATCTTATATTTAAGGATGATTAGAAGATTTCACAGTATTCCATTCGCGGATAATTTTAAAATAATTGTTTCTTGAAAAAAACTATAAATTTTTTACCTTAAATTTAATAACAAGATAATAAGTAAATAATAAATAAAAAAATATCCAATTACAGATCTATTTTTACATTACTTATAAAAAAATGATGGGGTAACACATAATTATTCTTGTTTGTTGGGGCAACTTATTTCTCAACAAACAACTCAATTTAATTCAATTGTTAATAGTTTCGATTGTTCGAATTAAAGGAACTGAAATTCTAAATCACTGCATCACATTTCGTCTAAAATCTTTTTCCGTGCTCCTTTTTTGTGGATCGTTGTTGATAGGACTTTTGAATGTCGTTGTGTCACTGAAAAGTAACACTGCAGGGGGTGAGAAAATGTGAGATTCGCTAGTTGTAAAAATTAGAACGTCTTTGAACGCTGAGCTGACTGAAGTATAGTGTGGACCCCACTTTATCATTGAGTAGATCACGTACTAAATGAGATAAAACTGTTATCGATTTCCTGTTCCTTACAATACATTTCAAGAGAGTTCCCAATATTCGCTGGAGGTGATAAACCGCCGGAAGTGGTCGGCCTCACCTTGCACATTCATTGACTTGCGCAAGCAGATATCTTTGCTTCAAGTTAGAGCGAACTCACTTATCGAATCAACACTTAAATATGTTTAAATTAAATGGACGTTGTAAACTAGGGATGCCTGTTTGCTGTTCGCACCGGACATACGCCTTACGAGTAGACAGATATACAAAAAGGTTTGCTCAATACATTCGAAAGGCTTCCTTCCGCACTTGACGTCTCGATGTTTGCTCCACTCACACCTCACTCCAAATTCGCACCTCGCACCTCAAACATAATAAATAAATAACACAACTGATTGTGCGAGCGTTATATACTTTCCACGAAGATTTTTCATAGTTTAACAATGTTACAGCTTTATTTACAAAAAACAAAAACAAGAAAACCTAAAATATGTAATAGCTTTGATTAATCTCCCAAAATTCATCGATTGTGTTATCACGTTCAAAGTTTGTATAAATAAAATTAAAATAGATAAAAAAAACTGTTTTATACTTAATTAAGAATTGACTAACTAAATATGAGGTTTTTTTTGTGTTAGTACACCCGGGGAAAAAACTATTCACCAGTCTAACTTTGTACTCGGGCTGCGCTTTGTCGCAATAGCGTTTCAGACTAACTAGTTGAAGAGCAGGTAATATATCGAAAAACCCTTATTTAGGAAGTTGGTTCGGACCCGAAAAATGTCTTTTTGTGAAAATTACTTCAAGGAGCATACGTATACATTAAATAGTGATTATAATAAACAAGGTTGCTCAAATTATCAAATTACAAATACATAAATTTATTTAAGAAATGTATTTTGCAAGTATACAGTATGTTCCCGGATTAAGTTTACAAGAGGAAAAAAAAATTTACCTTTGATTTTACGCCAAAACTGCAAAGGAAAAACATTTTTAGCTTGACTTGACTTTTAAGGTTCTTTATCTACAGCTTTCAAAAATCAAGATTGTAGAATTAGTTTTAAATACCAGAATTTTTTAATAAACTGTGAATTTTGCCAATTTCTATGAAGTTATTTCTTTTATAATCAAAATTCTGAACTTAATAATACATTTAATAAGTCAAAAGGAAACAAATTTTTACCTTAGATTTTACGCCCAAAAAGCAAAGGAAATACTTTTTTTCTATAGCAGATGTTAAACTATTTCTTTATAAACTTTTTTGAGTAGATAAAGTAACACTTTAACAGCAAGGGTTGTTTTTTTCTTTATCTGAAACGAGCAAATCTATTATTAAAACTTCATTATTCTGACTCAGTAGAAAGAAAAGTTATTTTTTTTTTACTTTTGAACTTGTAATACCTAATATTCTTTCTTTGCTTTTCAAGTCCCATCACATTAGCGATTTTATTTTTTTGACAACGATGTCACTTGACAATTAATTAATTAGTTGAATAATGTTTGTTTTTGTTAAAAATGACTGCTTTTTTCAGAAACTGTTTTTTTGACTTGCCATTTATTAAAAAAATATGCGTTAACTCATCTGTCAAAGCGACATCGTTCTCAAAAAAATAAAACGCCAATGTGATGGGATTTAAAACGCAAGAGAAAAAATTACACTAGTTTACAAGATTTTTATACCTTAGCTGAAAGTTATTATTTCTTATAGATTTTGAGGCACTGAGTTAAAAAAAAACTATTTAAAAAAGTTCACCATGTTACGTTTAAGAAATAAGTAATTAACAAAAATACGAAAACCGCCAAAGAACAAATTAAAAATGAGTCCATGATACTAAAATTTGCATTTTCTCATTTCAAGGTTCATGGGCACTTTTAGAAATATGTATGAGTCTAGTAATATTATTCAAGTTAATACCTATATAAAATGATATTTTTTTCTAAAACAAGTTTTGTAGTTCTTTTATTTTGAAAAGATTTAGCGCGAATCTAAACGAAAACAAATACATAATAAATGAATTAGAGGACAAAAACGATCTAAAAGAAAATGCTATTCTAAACTCGTATGGCTTTCAGGGTTTTATGAAATGTACAAACAGAAATATTTGGAAATATACGTTTATATTCTCTTGGGCGTAAACTAGGAGAATAACAAGTGAGAAAATCAAATAAATAAATCCGGAATTCATATAGGGTGTCTGTTCAAATCCCACCCAAAGAACAATAAATAAAAATAAACACGCCGTAAATAAATTTTAAGCGTTGGTCACGTACGTCGGCTGACAGTGATCGAGATTAGGTTTTTCTCTACAAGATAATTTCGTAGACTGTGGTGTTTGGTGTAAGGTGAAAACAGAAAGATGTGCAATCGTGCAAAATATAAGAAAGATAGCTTATGATGTATTACGATCACGTTTCAGAGGCGGCAAGCCAAAGCCACGGGCCGGTCTTCTTGCTCGAACCTCCTGCTCACCTCACATTTTCCAATACCACGGGCTCGCAGGTCAGTTGTTCGGCACATGGATCTCCAACGCCGCAAGTAGACTGGTTGCTACAGGATGGCCAAACTGTCACCGCTGTGCCTGGGCTTAGGTAAGTCATTTCTCCACCTCCAGGCTTTGCGATCTTTAAAAATAAATCCTCTCATCCATGACATTTACGACAGGAAAGCGAAAATGCGACCTACAAACTTATTTCCTCTTTTCTATAAATAATACACAAATATACTCAAATCAACTCGACAAAATTGAAACAAAGCCTACAAATATATAATACAAATGTATTATGCGGTTACGTATTTTTTCGTCCTTATCTTTGATGCCATGCGTAATTGATGAAGGTGGATGTGTCGAAAAGCAGAGACAGTGTACGACTTGAATTGAGCGAAGACGATGTCTCAGGAGGCCCGGAAATAAATCGAGCCTCGGTAGAATATCGAAGTTAGAAGGCCTCATCGCCTTAGCGAATTAAGGTTTTATGTTAATTGGTGTCGAAGGGTAAAGGCACGCAGCTAGGCTCTTAGTTTTCAGTGGCTATCATATCACTCTTCACATTGTATAATCCGTTCGTGTCTTCCAAAGGGGATTTGTATCGTGTCACATAATATCTGTAGCACTTCATCCATTGCTGAACTCATTCATTATTCCATTTTCTGAAAAGTTAAAAAAGGCTCATCCAACGGCGAAAATGTAATTAAAACTCTAGTACCGTCAACATTATATAATAAACACAAATTCCAGCCAGATCCAACTGAAATTCTTTATTAAAATTTTCACACTTGACGTCGTCTCATTCTCATTGAAAGGATCATTATGGTGCGAACATTGTGTGTTTAAAAGAATTTATATTTTTAGCTGTCATTTACTTGAACTCCCATAATTGATATTAGCTATAACGACCAATGGTATAAATTAGTGTATGTGTTAGGTGGATGAACTGTACCGATACTTCAATTACTTTAAATAGTCACTGTGAATTTGCGTGACCTGCTCGAATGCAAATGTCAACTCTGTAGGTGAATTCGTTTCTATCTTTGCAATGATCGATACTGGATACATGTGACACAACGAGCCGTATAAATAATGGACTCTGGCAGGTCTATTATAAATGTATGGGACCGACCCGGAAACCGGAATAAGCTCCAGCAGACAGATCGAGAATTCAAAGATTGATGCTACTAACGGATCAACTAAATCTAGTTTTATTTTCTTTTTCCGTAACGTTAAACAATTTTATATAATTACAGATAAATGACATTTAAATTTAAACAAATTTTGTGTTTAGCTTATCAAGTCATCAATGTTATACTCCTACTTACAGAAGCAGGACAACATACAGAAAGGAGCAAATAATGGAAGCAGTTCTTTCATTCAAAAATAATTGAAGTCAAATTAAAATTGTTGAAACCATATTTACTTCATTAAATATTTAGTTGTGGTCAAAAGTATACCAAACTTGATTTATTTAATACCATATTTATAGTTTGTTCAAAGTTTTCCACTCAAATGCCACTGTTTTGTTTAAGAATATAAACAAACTTCGTATGAGCCCACACAGTTGTGATTGTATGATGATTGCTTAGAAGGTGTACAAAAAAAATCTTGAATCAGAAAAAGGTAATATGTATAATAAATCTTCTGGCAGATATTAAACCATAAGTTTAATAATAGTCATAATTCATAGTTTAAAACACAACTGTAAAGGCTCAACCATTTTCTTTTTTTTATTAATATACTAATTAATCATGTCTAACGTCTTCATGACTGAGTTGTTCTTCTAGAATTAGACCTAGTAAAAACATGAAAGGAAGAATTTTTTATTGTCATTTTTTTTACAATGCATTTGTTTTATGGCGTTATAAATTGAAGATAATTTTGAAAACATATTTAAAAAAATCATTAATTCATTAACCCTCAAAATCAAAGCCAAACAAAAAACATTCATCAAGCGAATTATAAAATTATTCAAAAGTAGCAACCAGTAGGTTGCCCCGAGGTATAAATATTTATGTATGTTGGACGTGTGACTGACGTTGTGCCACTCCTATATACACACTAGTCTGCCCGATCATGCATTTCTATCATAAAATGGAATATAGAAAAGAACACATAATAATCTGGATCGATAATTCGGTTTTCCCTACTTTTTTCCCATTCTCATTGCTATCAGATATGAGTATTATGCGTGGATCTGGATGTTGTTTTTGTTATCTATGGCATGTAGTTTTCTTTGATTTTTGTTTGAGTTTTGTTATAATAATAACCCAGTGGCGCAGCCAGAGGTAGAGTTTAAGGGGGGTTTACCGATGTAAAAAATTTCGGGCACTCATTTAAACGTCATTTCAAAAAGAAATATAAAAAAACAAGCTTTTATTTAAAAAAAATGTACTCTAAACTATTTTTTTTTAGTCATAGAAGAACTTTTGTTGCTTACAGCTTATGTTTTTAAAATTTATAAAAGCTTTTAGAGCGGTTATAACACTACAAGTATTGAACAATTACTTTGCTTAGTCGACCGCCCCCAACGCTTTTAAAAATTTTAAAAACTTAAGCTGTAAGCAAAAAAATGTTCTTCTGTAACAGAAAAAAATTATTTGTTGCTTTTCAGTACATTTTTTATAAAAATTAATTTTTTATACATTTTTATTTCCCACTTTTTTTTTCTTTATTTATTCTTTTGTAAAATACTTTATAAATGTCAAACTCAAAGAAAATTTTTATTTATTGAATATAATTGAATCTGTTTCAAATACGGATGTTAAAATTTCAGCCCGTAATATATTCGTTCCTGTGGAAGATGGGGGGTTGATTTTGCCCTTACAAGCCCTATCAACTTGTAGGGATTTTTCTGTTCCACCGAGTGGAGTTGATTCCACCTTCCATCTTAGGGACCGAGATATTGATAACTGTTTATAAATTATTACTTAAAGTAAATATTAAAGTGGTTCAATTTGACAACTGACGTCTTTATAGTAAAATTTGACTTTTTTAAGGTATACTTTTTTAGAACATTTTGACGTATAGGCGCCTTTTGTGTTGTTTACAATGTCGGCCAAAAAATGGATTTATCACGTGATGAACATTGTGCGACAATTTTTTCCAACTTTAAACGTGAATTATTTCAATAACAGTGCATCAATGGACTTAATTCGATTTTTTGATGATAAAGAACCATTAAAAACTATTGTATATTGGTGATATATTAAATTCAATTGTAGACGTGATTTACTCATTAAAGAATTTCGGAAGATCATCCAAAATCACTGTTATTTCAAAAAACATTGACGTTGATGATGTGCGTGAAATGATATTGCAATATCGTTATGTGAGACTTGAAAACATATAGTATACTACAAACAAATTTTCTTACAGGCATTGTCAAAAATGTATATTGTTGATGTTATATGTAGTCTCATTGTGAGGCGTTTATTCATTAACATTATTATTAACGTTGCTGCAATGGATTTTAACAAGAACCTGTGGAACGTAATGCAAATAAGAAAAGTACTGAAAATTGAGTTAATTATTAATATAATAAAACAGACTATATCTTCCTTGAGCACAGCATCGAGCTGTGAATTTTGTAGCCGTAAAGTGGCATCAATTACAAAGTAACAATGCATCGATTTCCGCATCGCATAAATTCGAAATAAAAGAACCCATAGATCAATGTCGGATCTGTAAACTCAGTCTAGGCTGAAAAGAACGTTTCCCGTTCCGTTATTCAAATTGGTTTGCAAACGACCACTATGTTAGACTATGCGAGCTGCAAAATGAATGCAGAAGCTTATCATCATGGTGATCCTGCTTCCAGGCCTATTGTGTCTCCACGTATATATCATCGTTATCAAATTACTGAACCTCCTTATGCATAAAATGTAAAAAAGTACTTGTGCAAGTATATGTCCATACTCATGTAAAAAGAGAGAATGATTGTCTTAATTGCATCAGTGGTTATTTATTAATTATTTATTATATATTCAAAAATTGTTTAGCGAAATAATTAATTTTCAATATAATTTTTATACAAAAATCATTAATGTAAATTTTATACTTTGGTATTGCTTTTTGACAGTATTTCCAACATTGTATCACACTAGTCCAGTTGAAGCTATCGCAATATAACTTGCACAGTTTAAAAATACAAATTTTAATGTTAAGCATGCTTGAAGAGCAATTTCTTGATTTAACAATTTAGAATCTAGCATCAAAGTTTAAAAATTATATGCCAAGTGTAAATCTCGACTTTACTAAGTTTTCATAAGTCATGATGATTGATGAGTGCTTGGAATTTATACAAACTTTTATATTTTTCAGACAATCACTGGGTAATGGAACTTTATACTTTCCACCTTTTAGAGCAGAAGATTATCGAAAGGACGTCCACTCCACCGTCTACCGTTGCAGAGCATCCAATTTAGCGGGTACTATTCTCAGCAGAGACGTCAATGTAAGAGCCGGTAAGAACACCTTTTGACACTAGAAATAGCATTCGCTAAAGTTCTTAATCGTAATATTTTATAGTTAATAAAATATCCATCAAATATATCACGCTTACTTAGATCTCTTAAACAAAATATGATAGTATATTGTAAGATTAATATTATAATAGTAGTTTTTATTTGTTTAGTCATTTTTTCATGTTTTTACTTCATTTTGTGGTTTGGGTTTAAAACACCCTTAATCTAACTAAACATGGCAACAAATACCAATTAAAAATGTTTAATTAGAAATGTAGAGCTAGAATGAAGTCTGTTAATTTTCTATTGTGCTTGGAAATAACTTGTCATTTTGGTGGATGCGCCGGGCTAGAAGTACCCAAACTTATTTTTACCACTAAAATAAAAAAATTAGCAAATTAGTGTTCAATATCAATTCATTTGCACAAATATATTTTTGGCATTTTATGATGTATTATATTGTTAGAAATAAATTAAAAAACACTTTTAACTTTAGACACTTCCATTGACAAATTGTCCAAGCGTTTCGTGATGATCACAATTCGACTGACAGCGGCTATAGACACTTATATAATATGCCTTAACATAAATAAATTGTGTCATATCATAATTTAAATAATAATTACTTCTAGATCTTTAACGGACATTATTTCTTACTAAATTATCTAGACCATTACTCAATGTTATTACCTAATTTTTTTTTTAGAAAATTACAAAAAAACACAAATTTTTAATTTTCATTTAATCCACATTTTCTCTTTCTTTATGCACATAACACCTAAAGGCGTTTTTTTAGCAAACTAAAAGTCTCACAAAAAAAAAACAAAAAAAACATAATCTGTTATTAATTATTTTATTATTCATTGAATGCCGAAAACCTGGAGTCAGAATTTCGGTGGGGAATGCGTAACTGATGATGTCTTTAATTATAGACCCTGTAGCTCCCTAGTGTTAATGTTATAAATTCTATTTTTCATGGCTAAAATAGTCTGTACTCTTATTAAAGCAATGAAAAAAGCTATTTTCACCTCAACTCTCACGCATACATTTAAATATTAACAAAGCGATTTTAGTTGGTATTAGGTACGTACACATCTTACTTTTAAAAATCAGTTCTAACAAAATTCAAAATTTTAGTCGTCATTTTTTATTTTTATTTATTAATTATTGATCTTATCATGATTGTTGATTTCATCAGAATTTTTGCTTATTGAAAATGAATGATGATAAACCATAAATTTGTTGGTGTAAAAGTAAATGTAAAACCGACAAAAGTCTGTAATTATACGTGGACTGGCAACCTTACGATTGGCGTAGGTCGTAGCTGGCATCCCCCATTTCTGCTGAATAATAGAACGTGTGGCGGTTGTGATTTCCCTAGACGGTAGTACATAGCGCGAGACACATTTATGAGAAAATAAAACGGAAACATCGAAGCTTAATAACTATTCAAAGTGTTGTTAAGTGTTAACGCTGTTATTAAATATACCAGTTTCGTATTTGTAGTAATTACATCACGCAAATTGTTGTTTATCTAGCATCTAAAATTGTAGGATGCAAATTGACACACGAAACATGTTTTGACGGTTTATGTAAACATTTTCCTTCCGATCGTTACACTAGTTTGTGCTTTAAACCAATCTCAGTACCTACAAAGTGTGTTTGTACGTTATTATAGCCACCTCTGTTTAGGGTGGATCATTTCAAGTAAAAATGTCAAAGGTCAAGCAGTATTCAAAATTTTACGATCAAAATCATATTTACTTTTAATTTCAACTTTTAACTTTATTAATGCTGCTCTCGACTATCATGATCAAACATCTCTCCAAGGATGTAACAATTACTCGCTCAACAGTTTACTTTAATAATTGCTCTTATGCAAACTCAGTTACAATAATGCACACACCTCTCTGCTCCAATCGGAAGGCAAAACGTTTAACCTCGTCAATCACTGACACTAAACATTTCAACATTTCTAAATATATATCAATAAGGTACGTTTGTTAACCTATAGCAAAATAAAGCTGCCAGAACACATTTTTTTAATGATAATCAGCTCCGAATCAGTTGATTCGGAAGGGATTAAAAAATAGAATAGTGGCATACACGAGTTGGATTTTTATATATTTATTACACGTACAAATTAAAAAAATATATTATTTGGAATGTTACTTAAAAATTGCTTTACATGTGCAAAAGCGAGAGCAAAAGTATGACGTCTTTACGCCAGATGAAATTGCCATTCCTACTTTTACGCTATAACAGTTAATTTTTTTGCATATATATTTTTAAATTTTATTAATATAATCTGCCAGTTGATTGTTATCTTGTTATGTCAATTTAATACACTACATATAAGTAATAATGCATGAAAAAAAAATCTGAAATAACCACTGCAACTGTCTCTGAATTTGAATAATTCACTAGTTGCGCTTTCTTGCCTAATTACACCTCAGTTAATCAAGTTTCCACCACTATTAGCCGAATAATATAAACTAACAAAAACGACTAAGTTCCTGTCTGTCATAGAGGATATTTTAACTGGAGTAAATAGCAGCGTGTCAAAAATTTATTACTTGTCTGGCAGGTATTTGTTAATACAAAAATAGGTATACATCAACTTAAAATCTCTAATCTCTAATCTTAATGGACTTTAAACTTTACAATATTTTATTATCAGGTAAAGTTTTTTTGAGAGCTTTACATATATAAAGATAAAAGAGTTGCTGACACAAAAAAAAACTAACAAAATATAAAAAAACTACTAAAATACCAAATGTAAATCTACATTCATATAAAAGTAAAAACAGAAACGTTGTCAAAAATATCATTTGTACCACTAATTTATACCCGTAGGTACTACAATGACAAAAAGCTATAGAAAAGCTTTTTATAACACAGCAAGTGTAATTAAAACGTTTAGTTTAAAGCATGAATAAAATTCGTCTAAGTTATCCAGCTTTTATGGAGCACAGCAGCTTTATTACATTCTGCAAAAAACTGTATTAAATTTCTTCAATGTTCGACACAGCTTCAAATTGGAATCTATTTGGTGTATGTATTTTGACTTCTTTTCACATGTCTACAATTAATTCAAACAGTATTTATTTTACCTAATTTTTTTTGTTTAGGAAGCAACTTAATACAAACTTTTTTATAAACCTGGTGCGCTAATTATCTTAGTTAGTAGTCTTACCTATTAAAAGTTTTAAGTTTTTTTTTAGAAATGTGTTACTAGGTACTATTTTTGTGAATTGCAAATTGTTGTTTTTAAATAATATAAAACTAATTACTAAATATCCTGAAGTGGTCAAAATTTTAATTGTCAAAACCTGCACGGGTTTTCCTATCCAAAAAAGTCTTTTTTACTGCAGATACTCGTATGGTATAACGACACAATTCTAAAGACAAGCGCTTACATGTTAAAAATCTTAATCTTTAATGGTTTTTGCTAAATTTACAACTTGATAATATATAATTGGCGTTATATCACATGAGACATGTGTTAAAACTTGCATGATAACATTACTACTAAATTGATATTACTAACTACAATGAGATAAATTCAGGCCATCGATCATGCATTATAAATTACAGTTTTCATAATATATAATTATAACTTAATTTCTAGCATTTGTTTAACATTTAAATCACAACATGCAAAGTTTAATGAATATTAAACGCGTAGATCAATCAGAAAGTGTCTCAAGTGGCGTTATTATACAGTGAAAGGGGTCTTTGAATGTCCAACAATTTTTCATTCTTTCAGCTTTCTAAGTGTGCATTCAAGCATTTATCCACACTATCCTGACACACACCCTTCGCTCGTCCGCTGTTTACGTAATGCAAATTTAAATAGCAAACAAAAATCTTAAACCTACTCCTGCAGCTTAATATTTGAAGATTCTCTGGGAAATTCGATGCAGCCAATAAACGTGACGTTCGATTGCATATCAAATTGTCGCAATTCTGTTAAAACTCAATTTAGCTAGTTTTCAAGCATCCCCCAATTGATGTTTAATAGTTTGCATGATTACGGATTGTCCCTCGGGGTGCGTTCCATATATGATTTTCAGAAAACGTTATCGGAAAATTCCATTTTAAATAACGTCGTGTCACATTTTCGAACTCGTCTTCATAAATCTTTAATGTAAGTAACTTACAGATCACCCCATGAGACCTTAGACTCGGTTATAACTTTAATACTATTAAAGATATACGACAAACACGGGATTCTTTAGAATTAAGCCGATTTCTATCCTCTTACCCTAAGAAGGCTTTGATATAGTTTTTTGCGATCGAGTGGACCATGTACAGGCATTCAGAATAGGTTTCGAGAAGCGCTTTGCATAACGACATCACAGGTATTTTTTTCCCGTTCAATAGACAAAGTTTCCTCTTCAAAATCATGGAAATTGAATTTTTGAATCACATGCCAACTACAAAAGTGTCTGTTCAACATACAATACGAGATTTAAACAATACGTTTTGCAATTATTCCAGTTGTTGACTATTATGAAACAGGCGAGATTAATAACAATTATTATTACTAATATCACAACGTTACAATAAACAGGTATAATTTTTTAATTTATTATAACACGTTACTATATGTTAATAACTTAACAACTAGTTGCATTAAAGTACATTTAACCGTAGTAGTAGGTACTATTAAGAAAAAATAACACAGCAGAATACATTTATCAGCTTTCAATTATACATATAAATAGTATATACCAAGATTAAGAAACGAAGTCTGTCTTCATCGAGATTCTCAGAGCGTTGTATTCAACGCCTATTGGCGAAGATAACGAAAACAAAAATTTCAAAGTGATTTATTTGCTAACTATCAAATGTGACATCGAGATATAAAGTGTCATTAAAAACTTTTTTTTTCTATCTCTACTATTAATCTTTTGGAAATATTTAATACTAGTGTTTGAAATTACTATGGAAATTGTCGATAATTTTTAATTAAAAATATTTTTAATATTTCAGAT